GTTTCAGATTTTTTAAACTTTAAACTTTACGTGTAAAGGGCTCCTCATATTTTTTAACTCTACACCCCAATTAACTTATGTTCCAATTAGATGGAAATGAGGAAAACCTAGCGTAGCTCTGTTGTTAATTCAACGACAGTGGGCATATGCGCTATATACCACGTATCACGTAAAATAAAATAAAGTAAATTACTTATACCTAGACCTGTGCGCCGGCCGGCCATTTTTGGTTTCGGCGGCGCACGGCCGGCGCAGAAAGTTCTTTCATATTTCATTCCTTTTTATTCTAATAATTGGTCAATATCACTGTTGTAATTTTTTAATTGCAATCAGGATTTTGATGAATTTTTATTTTTTACTATTTTAAAATCATAATTATATTGACGTCATTATAGAATTCAATCAATCAAAAATCTAAAATTCCAAAAGTTACTATAATTTTATATATTTTAAATAATGGATGTCTACATTTAATAATTCTATAAATAATTTTAGTATCCTAACTCTGAATAATAAAAAATCCATAGTCTGGAAATTTTTTTTACAAAAGAATTAGAGAAATTATTATTGCTCTAAGATATAAAACTGCAAAGGTTGAATTAGAATTGAGGAAGATCAAAAAAATGTCTAAGTACAATAGATTTAACATCAGACATGTTAGATCTTGACAGCATTGATCCATACCCGGATACCCGTTTTCAAATTGGCAATTCCAATAATAATAATAACAATAATTCCACGCATATGAAAACCTTAAAATTAAATGTCCCAACACGTTGGCATAGTATATTAATTATGCTAGAAAGCATATCTGGATTAAATAAGAATTTAATTAATAATGTTTTGTAAGAATTGGGAAGCACTTTAACAAATTATGAATCTGAGCTTATAGAAGAACTATTAGCATTTCTTTCAAAATTTAAAGAAACTGTCGAATTACTTTCAGTACAAAAAGGGCCTATTTTAAACTTGGCGTTACTTTTTGGAAGTGAAATTGAAACAAATTTAATAGTAAATGATAATGATAGTTCTGAAATCATTTCACTTAAGGAAAATATGCTAAAAAAACTTGCGTTACGATTGTCGGTGTGTAATCTGCAAGTAATAATATATAATATATTCTTTTATTTTTTATTTAAAATTATCGAGGTATTGGCTTCTCTTTTAGATCCAAGATTAAATTGATAATTGTGTCAAAGTATTTAATCGAGCAAAATTGTTCCGCTTCCGAATTTATAATTAAACATCTTAAACTTATAGAGAATGATGATAATCAGGTTAGCAATAGCTAATGAGGATCAAGATGTATTATTAAATTTAAGTTATTTGACAAAATTGGCAAATAAAATTTAACAAATGTAAATTATGATTCCAAGTTAGGTGACTTAGAACAAGAATGCCATATTTTTCTTGGAAAACGATATTCACAAGATATGGACGTTCTAAATTTTTGGAGGAAAAAGAAGAGTAAACTTCCCAATCCTTCCCGGCTGGCCAAAAAATTCTTTGCATTTGGGTGACTAGCACACCTAGTGAAAGAGTTTTCTCTACCGCTGGATTGACGTTAAATTCAAGGGGATCATTATTATCCCGAAAATTTAAATAAAATAATTTTTATACATGATAATTATAAAATTACGAAATCGATTTTGGATTTATAATGAGTTTTCTATTAAATAAATATTAAAAAAATATGCCGAGATATCTATAGAATAATGTATATTAGTTTTTTAAAAAAATAATAAGCAATTAAATAAATTTATGTCATAAAAATTTATAATTGCGCCGATTTACGCCGATTTTGTTGACGGCGGCTAAAAATCGGCGCGCTACCGGCCGTCGATAGGATTTTTTGAAAATTGCGCCGGCCGCCGATAGTTTGTCGGCGCACAGGTCTACTTATACCTTAATCCCTCCGTGTACATTCAAATACACATGCTATTAAAGATTTACAAAAAAAAATTTAATCCGTAATCGAGGTTGATTGCATGTTTTAGTCAGCTTTATAATAATTTTTTTTTTGTTAATCAACAATCTATTATAAAAGTTATAATTAAGTTTATCTTCAACTTTCTTAATTAAAATAAAGGTAAAACGTAAAAATTTAATAAAATTCTCTCAATTCCATCTCTAGTTTTTGATGTCAGTATCTGCTATTAACTTATATGCCATATATGTTAATTTATCCAATTTTAAATATATAATAATAGATTATTTTTACGGAACACCATGTCGGTAAATAGTTCCATACTTAAATTTATAATTGGGTAATATAAAAGGAATCTACATAAGCCATTGCCTGAAGTAGGCTAGGGAATTAGTATATATCAGAAATAGGCGAAGCCTTGATTTTCAATAGGGTTTTGCTTTAAAAGTATAATGCTAAATTCACATTTTTCAAATTTTTTAAGATATATTATATTATTTAACTCATTTACTTGATTTCTGTAAAACACATATATGGAATAGGGGTATCTTTAAAATGAAAAAAAAGTATATATATTGGCTTAAAATAGATTTGTAGTATAGAACTATTTACCGACACCTACGTTTCCATAACAATAACTTTTAAAAATCTGTCATCAAAATCAAAACCAATTTTTTCTTTTCTCTTTAGCACATCCTTAGTGTCTCATCTATCAGCCTGATACAAAAAAAAATATGTCTTTTCCTCAAATTTACTATTTATATAGAATGATATATGATTTCATAACTATTTTTATATCTAAGTTCATCTAAAACTTCTCTATTGGTTAATAACAAAAAACTAGCTCTGACTTTCATAAAGTTTTATGCATTACTCCTCTAAATTAATGCTTACATATTTTAGTTAGTGCAAATTAGCTTATACAAATCTTTTATCTAATATCCCATGTGAATATGGAAGAAAATTTACTATATATATGATTTTTTTGCATCATTAAAAAAATAATACAATAAACACGTATAATAACTTTCCCTATATAATAAATACAATATACTTAAAATAAACAAACCCCTACTGTAAAATAATAATTTTAAACTGCTAAACTTATATTTAGTGAACGTCACTCATGAATTGGGAATTAAAATATAGAAATGATTTAGTTATTAACTGTAATATAAATATAAATTTTTTTTGAATCATTTTAACAAGTAACAATTCTTGATAAATTTATATTTACTTCTTTTTATTTTCAAAGTAACTATTACATATATATTTATATAAAATATTTGAATAGTGAATAGTGAATAGCACAGTAAAATGTGATTAATCTATCTTTTTATTATGAAAATTTATTTTTAATGATTTATTTTGTATAATTGAATTCCGATTAAAATATTTTGCAGAATTTTTTTTTACATAGAGTAGCACAATAGCAATAAATTAAAAAAAATATATTAACTACTAGCTCTAAACATGTTTTTGAAAATTAACAGTAGAGATAGCCCGCTACTTATGTAAATAACGTTTAACAACACTGATTTTATGGTTATATATATAGACTAATAAAATAAAGTTCAATATAAATTAAACATAAATAAGGACCCAGATATATAGTATAGAATATTTTATTTAAATTGATAAAGAGTATTGATAATTTTTCCTGGATGTTAATAATTGTTGTATTAATAATAGTAATTGAAATAAATGTAGTGTTCGTTGTTATAGTGATCTTTGTCGGTCATAAAAGTATAATCATTTAATTTGTGCGATTAATTATAAACTAGTAATCTAGTTTGGTTGTATAATAATTTAGTAATTATAAAAAAATTTAAGAAAAACACTCCAATGTTAAATTCATCAAAGAAACTAGGGATAATTTATATCTAACTTTAGGAGTATCGCCGCTGAAAGCGATATCCTTAAATTAATTAATATTTTTCTCTTTTTTTTTTATAAATTTAAAATAAATTAAAACATAAAAAATCCAGAATATTAAATTTTATTTTTTATGTGATAAACCAATCAACAGCTCTTTCGAAATTAATACATCTGTTAAAACAAACCATTTTATCAAATAAAATATATGAAAAAATATGGAAACTATAACAATAGGAAGAAGGTATATAACGCTCTGTTATTATAGGCAAATAAACCTGGAATTGAAAAATTTGCCGTATCATTATAATTTTCTTGATTTATGTATATATGAGATTGATATTACATATAAATAATTACATATCTTGTTAATTATAGAAGAGAATTTGAAAAAAATATTACATAAATGTTTATAAAAAAAATAATTGAAAAAGCGTCATTAAATTTAAACAGGTTATGATGTAATAAAAATATACAGTTTTTAAATATATTTAAAATAACAATCATTAACATTTAAATACTTTGTATATCAGTTATATATTATAAAATAAAAAATAATTTAGTTATATTACTGTATATTTTATATTAAATTTTAATACCAAAGAAATTTTTTCTTAAGGAACTCTAATCCTTACATGAAAATTATCGTCAGAGTTATGAATTTTATAGTATAAAGATCTAGTAATATCAGCAGAATGAATGGCCTTAATATGTGTGATAGAAGTAGTTTGAAGGTAAGAGCCATTATTGTAGTTAATTAGTGGTAGAGTCTGTTCTATTAATTGTGAGAATTGTTATTAATTCAGAGAGGAACTGGTAGTTGCATCAGGAATGGGTATAGTAATAGGTGTTGTAATATTCATATAACTAGTAAGTGATGTGTTTGTAGCTTTAAAAGTTTGTGACTTGGAAAGAGTAAGTGTTATATCAATATTGAAAGATAATTTAGAAGGTGGTGTGGTTGAGGGAGTGCGCATATAAATATCAGTTATAAAAATAGGTGTAGTAGTATCAATAATAGGTATGATTGTCGTGAAATCATTTATAGGTTTGGTTGTTGGGATATAAAAGCAAATGTGGAATTTATTATTTCAATATTAGGGGCTATTGTTGTGGCATCACTAGTATGTGGTTGTTATAATATCAGTACTAGCCTTTATTGTTATTATATCACTATTAGTTATCATTGTTTTAATATCTATTGTAGGTGTAAGTAATGTGTTGTGGTAGATGTTGATATATTTCCAATATTAAATGTTGGATCTATGGTATCTGCTCTAGGTGTTATTATTATAGTATCAGTATTAGGTTTTGTAGTGATATGAGTAGTTGCAGATAAACCAATAACAGGCTTAGGCCTAATATGCGTAGTAATATCACTAGTGGGTGTTGTTATTGAGAGAACATTTGTTGAAATATCAGTAATGAGAATAGGCGTATTAGTAGTCTCACTAGTAGATATAGTTGTAGCTTGATTATTAGGTTTAAATATGGTGGTCTCATTAATTGTCGTTTCTGGTGCTCTATTAGTTGCTGAACTGGTTGTTGTGGTAACCGAAGTAGATATGGTTGTTGTGGTTTCCGTAGATGTTGTTGTTATATCGGTAGTAGATATTTTTGTTGTCGTATCAGTGAAAGGTAAGATGGTTGTGATATCATTTATAGGTATATTTGATGTTTTATCACTAATTGTTGCTATTGATAAGCTATCAATAGTAGATGGGGTACCGGTATTAGCAGTGATAGTTGCACTTGAGTTGGCAGAAGTAAGTGTAGGTTTTGATTTATCAGTAGTAGATGCAAATGTTCTGATTTCATTATCATGTTTTGTTGCCGGGGTAGCAAGGGTAATTACACTTATATTAGTCAAATGTTTGATTGTAATCGTATCAGTAGTTTGTAGTGGGGTGACCGTGGTGTAAATACTAGGTATGATTGTTAAAGCATTAGTAGTAGATGCATTATTCGTGGTATTAACAGGGATATTGATAGTATAATTTCTAGAAGGTGTTATCGTGGTATCAGTGGTAAGTATATTTTCTAGGGTAGAAGTAACAGGTGTTGCTAATGTGATTCCAATATGACTTATGGTATTTGTTATATCACTCACAGGTGTTCTTATTGTATCAATTGTAGTTTTAGTTGACTGGGTATCAGTAGGTAAGATTGTTGAGGAATCAGAAGATAATGTTGTCGTGGCAGAGGAATCAGAAGTATTAATAATGAGATTAGGAATAAAAGGTGTACTATTAATGCTAGATATTATTATTGTTGGAGTGGTTGTAGAAATATCTGGTATTAGATTACGGGTTGTATTAATAGAAATTGAAGTTGTAGATTTATTAACCAATGTTGCTGTAATACCAGTAATTAGAATAGTTGCTTTATCTGTAGTGAGTCTGATATTTGTATTTTCAGTTGTTGTTATTATATCAGTAATGGGCGTGGATTTTAAAGATTCAATATTAGGCGTGGTTGTTATGCTGTCAGTATTAGCTTTAGTATTTGTTTTAGTAGTAAGTGTTGTTATGGTTTTGTCAGTACTAGGTGTCATTGTTAAGGCACTAGCAGTAAATGCCAATTTCGTGGTATCACTAACAGGTATATTGGTAGTATTAATATCACTAGTAGTTATTATAGTGGCATCAGTGGTTAGTGTATTATCTATGGTAGCAGTATTAGGGGTTGTTGTTGTGATTCCAATATTATCGGTGGTAATTGTAGTGTCACTCACAGGTGTGACTGTTGTATCAATGGTAATTTTAATTGACAAAGTATCAGTAGGTGTGATTTTTGTGAAATCAGAGGATATGGTTGTCGTGGCAGAGGAATCAGAAGTATTAATAATGAGATTAGGCCTAATAAAAGGCGTATTATTAATGCTAGATATTATTATATTTGGAGTAGTTGTAGAAATATCTGGTATAAGATTAGTTATAGTTGTATTAGTAGCAGATATGGATGTAGAAGATTTGCTAAGCAAGGTTGCAGTGGTATCAGTAATAGTTGCTTTATCTTTATTTAGCATAATATTTGTAATTTCAGTTGTTGTTATGATATCAGTAATGGGCGCGGATTTTATAGATTCAATATTAAGCGAGGTTGTTATGCTGTCAGTATTAGCTTTCGTAGCTGATGTAGTAGTAAGTGTGGTTATGGTTGTTTCAGTACTAGGTGTGATTGTTAAGGCACTAGTAGTAGATGCATTTTTCGTGGTATCCGTAAGAAATATATTCGTAGTAATAATATCACTAGTAGTTGTTATTGTGGGATCAGTGGTTAGTGTATTATCTAGGGTCGTTTTATTAGGGGTTTTTGTTGTAATTCCAATATTACCTGTGGTAAATGTGGTATCATTCACAGGTGTAGCTGTTGTTGAATCAATTGTTTTTTTAATTGACGGGGTATCAGTAGATGGGATTGTTGTGGAATCAGAAAATATGGTTGTCCTGGCAGTGGAATCAGAAGTATTAATAATGATATCAGGAATAAAAGGCGTACTATTAAGGCTAGATATTATTATTGTTGGAGTGGTGTTAAAAATATCTGGTATTAGATTACTGGTTGTATTAGTAAATATAGAAGTTGTAGATTTGTTATGCAAGGTTGTTGTGATACCAATAGTTAGAATAGTTGCTTTATCTGTAGTGAGGATGATATTTGTATTATCAGTTGTTGTTATTATATCAGTAATGGGCGTGGGTTTTATAGATTCAATATTAGGCTTGGTTTTTATGCTGTCAGTAATACCTTTGGTCTCTATTTTTGTAGTAAGTGTAGTAACGGTTATGTCAGTGCTAGGTGTGATTGTTAAGGCAGTTGTATTATCTATATTTTTCGTTGTATCCGTAATATTTATATTGTTAGTAATAATATCACTAGTAGTTGTTATTGTAGCATCAGTGGTTAGTGTATTATCTAGGGTCGTTTTATTAAGAGTTGTTGTTGTAATTCCAATATTAGCTGTGGTAAATGTGGTATCACTCACAGGTATGGCTGTTGTTATATCAATGGTAGTTTTTAATGACAAAGTATCAGTAGGTGTGATTGTTGTGGAATTTGGAGATAAAATTGTTGTGCCAGAGGTATCAGAAGTATTAATAATGAGATTAGGCCTAATAAAAGTCGTACTATTAATGCTTGATATTATTATTGTTGGAGTTGTTGTAGAAATATCTGTTATGAGATTAGAGGTTGTATTAGTAGATATAGATGTTGTAGATTTGTTAAGCAAGGTTGCTCTGATATCAGTAGTTAGAATATTTGCATTATCTGTAGTGTACATTATATTTGTATTTTCAGTTGTTGTTATGATATCAGTAATGGGCGTGGATTTTATAGATTCAATATTAGGCGTGGTTGTTATGCTGTCAGTATTAGCTTTCGTAGCTGTTGTAGTAGTAAGTGTGGTTACGGTTGTTTCAGTACTAGATGTGATTGTTAAGGCACTAGTAGTAGATGCATTTTTCGTGGTATCCGTAACAAATATATTTATTGACAAGGTATCAGTAGGTACGATTGTTGTGGAATCTGGGGATATGGTTGTTGTGCCAGTGGAATCAGAAGTATTAATAGTGAGATTAGGAATAAAAGGCGTACTATTAAGGCTAGATATTATTATTGTTGGAGTGGTGTTAGAAATATCTGGTATTAGATTAGATGTTGTATTAGTAGATATAGATGTTGTAGATTTGTTAAGCACGGTTGCTCTGATACCAGTAGTTAGAATAGTTGCTTTATCTGTAGTGAGCATTATATTTGTATTCTCAGTTGTTGTTATTATATCAGTAATGGGCGTGGATTTTATAGATTCAATATTAGGCGTGGTTGTTGTGCTGTCTGTAATACCTATGGTCTCTATTTTAGTAGTAAGTGTGGTTACGGTTGTTTCAGTACTAGGTGTGATTGTTAAGGCACTAGTAGTAGATGCATTTTTCGTGGTATCCGTAACAAATATATTCGTAGTAATAATATCACTAGTAGTTGTTATTGTGGCATCAGTGGTTAGTATATTATCTAGGGTCGTTGTATTAGGCGTTGTTGTTGTAATTCCAATATTACCTGTGGTAAATGTGGTATCACTCACAGGTGTGGCTGTTGTTATATCAATGGTAGTTTTTATTGACAAGGTATCAGTAGGTACGATTGTTGTGGAATCTGGGGATATGGTTGTTATGCCAGTGGAATCAGAAGTATTAATAGTGAAATTAGGAATAAAAGGCGTACTATTAAGGCTAGATATTATTATTGTTGGAGTGGTGTTAGAAATATCTGGTATTAGATTAGATGTTGTATTAGTAGAAATTGATGTTGTAGATTTGTTAAGCACGGTTGCTTTGATACCAGTAGTTAGAATAGTTGCTTTATCTGTAGTGAGCATTATATTTGTATTCTCAGTTGTTGCTATTATATCAGTAATGGGCGTGGATTTTATAGATTCAATATTAGGCGTGGTTGTTGTGCTGTCTGTAATACCTATGGTCTCTATTTTAGTAGTAAGTGTGGTTACGGTTGTTTCAGTACTAGGTGTGATTGTTAAGGCACTAGTAGTAGATGCATTTTTCGTGGTATCCGTAACAAATATATTCGTAGTAATAATATCACTAGTAGTTGTAATTGTGGCATCAGTGGTTAGTATATTATCTAGGGTCGTTGTATTAGGCGTTGTTGTTGTAATTCCAATATTACCTGTGGTAAATGTGGTATCACTCACAAGTGTGGCTGTTGTTATATCAATGGTAGTTTTTTTTGACAAGGTATCAGTAGGTACGATTGTTGTGGAATCTGGGGATATGGTTGTTGTGCCAGTGGAATCAGAAGTATTAATAGTGAAATTAGGAATAAAAGGCGTACTATTAAGGCTAGATATTATTATTGTTGGAGTGGTGTTAGAAATATCTGGTATTAGATTAGATGTTGTATTAGTAGATATAGATGTTGTAGATTTGTTAAGCACGGTTGCTTTGATACCAGTAGTTAGAATAGTTGCTTTATCTGTAGTGAGCATTATATTTGTATTCTCAGTTGTTGTTATTATATCAGTAATGGGCGTGGATTTTATAGATTCAATATTAGGCGTGGTTGTTGTGCTGTCTGTAATACCTATGGTCTCTATTTTAGTAGTAAGTGTGGTTACGGTTGTTTCAGTACTAGGTGTGATTGTTAAGGCACTAGTAGTAGATGCATTTTTCGTGGTATCCGTAACAAATATATTCGTAGTAATAATATCACTAGTAGTTGTTATTGTGGCATCAGTGGTTAGTGTATTATCTAGGGTCGTTGTATTACGCGTTGTTGTTGTAATTCCAATATTACCTGTGGTAAATATGGTATCATTCACAGGTGTGGCTGTTGTTATATCAATGGTAGTTTTTATTGACAAGGTATCAGTAGGTACGATTGTTGTGGAATCTGGGGATATGGTTGTTGTGCCAGTGGAATCAGAAGTATTAATAGTGAAATTAGGAATAAAAGGCGTACTATTAAGGCTAGATATTATTATTGTTGGAGTGGTGTTAGAAATATCTGGTATTAGATTAGATGTTGTATTAGTAGATATAGATGTTGTAGATTTGTTAAGCACGGTTGCTTTGATACCAGTAGTTAGAATAGTTGCTTTATCTGTAGTGAGCATTATATTTGTATTCTCAGTTGTTGTTATTATATCAGTAATGGGCGTAGATTTTATAGATTCAATATTAGGCGTGGTTGTTGTGCTGTCTGTAATACCTATGGTCTCTATTTTAGTAGTAAGTGTGGTTACGGTTGTTTCAGTACTAGGTGTGATTGTTAAGGCACTAGTAGTAGATGCATTTTTCGTGGTATCAGTAACAAATATATTCGTAGTAATAATATCACTAGTAGTTGTTATTGTGGCATCAGTGGTTAGTATATTATCTAGGGTCGTTGTATTTGGCGTTGTTGTTGTAATTCCAATATTACCTGTGGTAAATGTGGTATCACTCACAGGTGTGGCTGTTGTTATATCAATGGTAGTTTTTATTGACAAGGTATCAGTAGGTACGATTGTTGTGGAATCTGGGGATATGGTTGTTATGCCAGTGGAATCAGAAGTATTAATAGTGAAATTAGGAATAAAAGGCGTACTATTAAGGCTAGATATTATTATTGTTGGAGTGGTGTTAGAAATATCTGGTATTAGATTAGATGTTGTATTAGTAGAAATTGATGTTGTAGATTTGTTAAGCACGGTTGCTTTGATACCAGTAGTTAGAATAGTTGCTTTATCTGTAGTGAGCATTATATTTGTATTCTCAGTTGTTGTTATTATATCAGTAATGGGCGTAGATTTTATAGATTCAATATTAGGCGTGGTTGTTGTGCTGTCTGTAATACCTATGGTCTCTATTTTAGTAGTAAGTGTGGTTACGGTTGTTTCAGTACTAGGTGTGATTGTTAAGGCACTAGTAGTAGATGCATTTTTCGTGGTATCCGTAACAAATATATTCGTAGTAATAATATCACTAGTAGTTGTTATTGTGGCATCAGTGGTTAGTGTATTATCTAGGGTCGTTGTATTACGCGTTGTTGTTGTAATTCCAATATTACCTGTGGTAAATATGGTATCATTCACAGGTGTGGCTGTTGTTATATCAATGGTAGTTTTTATTGACAAGGTATCAGTAGGTACGATTGTTGTGGAATCTGGGGATATGGTTGTTGTGCCAGTGGAATCAGAAGTATTAATAGTGAAATTAGGAATAAAAGGCGTACTATTAAGGCTAGATATTATTATTGTTGGAGTGGTGTTAGAAATATCTGGTATTAGATTAGATGTTGTATTAGTAGATATAGATGTTGTAGATTTGTTAAGCACGGTTGCTTTGATACCAGTAGTTAGAATAGTTGCTTTATCTGTAGTGAGCATTATATTTGTATTCTCAGTTGTTGTTATTATATCAGTAATGGGCGTAGATTTTATAGATTCAATATTAGGCGTGGTTGTTGTGCTGTCTGTAATACCTATGGTCTCTATTTTAGTAGTAAGTGTGGTTACGGTTGTTTCAGTACTAGGTGTGATTGTTAAGGCACTAGTAGTAGATGCATTTTTCGTGGTATCAGTAACAAATATATTCGTAGTAATAATATCACTAGTAGTTGTTATTGTGGCATCAGTGGTTAGTATATTATCTAGGGTCGTTGTATTTGGCGTTGTTGTTGTAATTCCAATATTACCTGTGGTAAATGTGGTATCACTCACAGGTGTGGCTGTTGTTATATCAATGGTAGTTTTTATTGACAAGGTATCAGTAGGTACGATTGTTGTGGAATCTGGGGATATGGTTGTTGTGCCAGTGGAATCAGAAGTATTAATAGTGAAATTAGGAATAAAAGGCGTACTATTAAGGCTAGATATTATTATTGTTGGAGTGGTGTTAGAAATATCTGGTATTAGATTAGATGTTGTATTAGTAGATATAGATGTTGTAGATTTGTTAAGCACGGTTGCTCTGATACCAGTAGTTAGAATAGTTGCTTTATCTGTAGTGAGCATTATATTTGTATTCTCAGTTGTTGTTATTATATCAGTAATGGGCGTGGATTTTATAGATTCAATATTAGGCGTGGTTGTTATGCTGTCAGTATTAGCTTTCGTAGCTGTTGTAGTAGTAAGTGTGGTTACGGTTGTTTCAGTACTAGATGTGATTGTTAAGGCACTAGTAGTAGATGCATTTTTCGTGGTATCCGTAACAAATATATTTATTGACAAGGTATCAGTAGGTACGATTGTTGTGGAATCTGGGGATATGGTTGTTGTGCCAGTGGAATCAGAAGTATTAATAGTGAGATTAGGAATAAAAGGCGTACTATTAAGGCTAGATATTATTATTGTTGGAGTGGTGTTAGAAATATCTGGTATTAGATTAGATGTTGTATTAGTAGATATAGATGTTGTAGATTTGTTAAGCACGGTTGCTCTGATACCAGTAGTTAGAATAGTTGCTTTATCTGTAGTGAGCATTATATTTGTATTCTCAGTTGTTGTTATTATATCAGTAATGGGCGTGGATTTTATAGATAAAATATTAGGCGTGGTTGTTGTGCTGTCTGTAATACCTATGGTCTCTGTTTTAGTAGTAAGTGTGGTTACGGTTGTTTCGGTACTAGGTGTGATTGTTAAGGCACTAGTAGTATATGCATTTTTCGTGGTATCCGTAACAAATATATTCGTAGTAATAATATCACTAGTAGTTGTTATTGTGGCATCAGTGGTTAGTGTATTATCTAGGGTCGTTGTATTAGGCGTTGTTGTTGTAATTCCAATATTACCTGTGGTAAATGTGGTATCACTCACAGGTGTGGCTGTTGTTATATCAATGGTAGTTTTTATTGACAAGGTATCAGTAGGTACGATTGTTGTGGAATCTGGGGATATGGTTGTTATGCCAGTGGAATCAGAAGTATTAATAGTGAAATTAGGAATAAAAGGCGTACTATTAAGGCTAGATATTATTATTGTTGGAGTGGTGTTAGAAATATCTGGTATTAGATTAGATGTTGTATTAGTAGAAATTGATGTTGTAGATTTGTTAAGCACGGTTGCTTTGATACCAGTAGTTAGAATAGTTGCTTTATCTGTAGTGAGCATTATATTTGTATTCTCAGTTGTTGTTATTATATCAGTAATGGGCGTAGATTTTATAGATTCAATATTAGGCGTGGTTGTTGTGCTGTCTGTAATACCTATGGTCTCTATTTTAGTAGTAAGTGTGGTTACGGTTGTTTCAGTACTAGGTGTGATTGTTAAGGCACTAGTAGTAGATGCATTTTTCGTGGTGTCCGTAACAAATATATTCGTAGTAATAATATCACTAGTAGTTGTTATTGTGGCATCAGTGGTTAGTATATTATCTAGGGTCGTTGTATTAGGCGTTGTTGTTGTAATTCCAATATTACCTGTGGTAAATGTGGTATCACTCACAGGTGTGGCTGTTGTTATATCAATGGTAGTTTTTTTTGACAAGGTGTCAGTAGGTGCGACTGTTGTGGAATCTGGGGATATGGTTATTGTGCCAGTGGAATCAGAAGTATTGATAGTGACATTAGGAATAAAAGGCGTACTATTAAGGCTAGATATTACTATTGTTGGAGTGGTGTTAGAAATATTTGGTATTAGATTACGGGTTGTATTAATAGATATAGAAGTTGTAGATTCGATAATCAAGGTTGCTGTGATACCAGTAGTTAGAATAGTTGCTTTATCTGTAGTGAGCATGTTATTTGTATTTTCAGTTATTGTTATTATATCAGTAATAGGCGTGAATTTTATAGATTCAATATTAGGCGTGGTTGATGTGCTGTCAGTAATACCTTTGCTCTCTAATTTTAGTAGTAAGTGTGGTTACGGTTGTTTCAGTACTAGGTGTAATTGTTAAGGCACTAGTATTAGATGCATTTTTCGTGGTATCCGTAACAAATATATTCGTAGTAATAATATCACTAGTAGTTGTTATTGTGGCATCAGTGGTTAGTGTATTATCTAGGGTCGTTGTATTACGCGTTGTTGTTGTAATTCCAATATTACCTGTGGTAAATGTGGTATCATTCACAAGTGTGGCTGTTGTTATATCAATGGTAGTTTTTATTGACAAGGTATCAGTAGGTACGATTGTTGTGGAATCTGGGGATATGGTTGTTGTGCCAGTGGAATCAGAAGTATTAATAGTGAGATTAGAAATAAAAGGCGTACTATTAAGGCTAGATATTATTATTGTTGGAGTGGTGTTAGAAATATCTGGTATTAGATTAGATGTTGTATTAGTAGATATAGATGTTGTAGATTTGTTAAGCACGGTTGCTTTGATACCAGTAGTTAGAATAGTTGCTTTATCTGTAGTGAGCATTATATTTGTATTCTCAGTTGTTGTTATTATATCAGTAATGGGCGTAGATTTTATAGATTCAATATTAGGCGTGGTTGTTGTGCTGTCTGTAATACCTATGGTCTCTATTTTAGTAGTAAGTGTGGTTACGGTTGTTTCAGTACTAGGTGTGATTGTTAAGGCACTAGTAGTAGATGCATTTTTCGTGGTGTCCGTAACAAATATATTCGTAGTAATAATATCACTAGTAGTTGTTATTGTGGCATCAGTGGTTAGTATATTATCTAGGGTCGTTGTATTAGGCGTTGTTGTTGTAATTCCAATATTACCTGTGGTAAATGTGGTATCACTCACAGGTGTGGCTGTTGTTATATCAATGGTAGTTTTTTTTGACAAGGTGTCAGTAGGTGCGACTGTTGTGGAATCTGGGGATATGGTTATTGTGCCAGTGGAATCAGAAGTATTGATAGTGACATTAGGAATAAAAGGCGTACTATTAAGGCTAGATATTACTATTGTTGGAGTGGTGTTAGAAATATTTGGTATTAGATTACGGGTTGTATTAATAGATATAGAAGTTGTAGATTCGATAATCAAGGTTGCTGTGATACCAGTAGTTAGAATAGTTGCTTTATCTGTAGTGAGCATGTTATTTGTATTTTCAGTTATTGTTATTATATCAGTAATAGGCGTGAATTTTATAGATTCAATATTAGGCGTGGTTGATGTGCTGTCAGTAATACCTTTGCTCTCTAATTTTAGTAGTAAGTGTGGTTACGGTTGTTTCAGTACTAGGTGTAATTGTTAAGGCACTAGTATTAGATGCATTTTTCGTGGTATCCGTAACAAATATATTCGTAGTAATAATATCACTAGTAGTTGTTATTGTGGCATCAGTGGTTAGTGTATTATCTAGGGTCATTACGCGTTGTTGTTGTAATTCCAATATTACCTGTGGTAAATGTGGTATCATTCACAAGTGTGGCTGTTGTTATATCAATGGTAGTTTTTATTGACAAGGTATCAGTAGGTACGATTGTTGTGGAATCTGGGGATATGGTTGTTGTGCCAGTGGAATCAGAAGTATTAATAGTGAGATTAGAAATAAAAGGCGTACTATTAAGGCTAGATATTATTATTGTTGGAGTGGTGTTAGAAATATCTGGTATTAGATTACGGGTTGTATTAGTAGATATAGAAGTTGTAGATTCGGTTAGCAAGGTTGCTATGATACCAGTAGTTAGAATAGTTGCTTTATCTGTAGTGAGCATGTTATTTGTATTTTCAGTTATTGTTATTATATCAGTAATAGGCGTGAATTTTATAGATACAATATTAGGCGTGGTTGTTGTGCTGTCTGTAATACCTATGGTCTCTATTTTTTTAGTAAGTGTGGTTACGGTTGTTTCAGTACTAGGTGTAATTGTTAAGGCACTAGTATTAGATGCATTTTTCGTGGTATCCGTAACAAATATATTCGTAGTAATAATATCACTAGTAGTTGTTATTGTGGCATCAGTGGTTAGTGTATTATCTAGGGTCGTTGTATTACGCGTTGTTGTTGTAATTCCAATATTACCTGTGGTAAATGTGGTATCATTCACAAGTGTGGCTGTTGTTATATCAATGGTAGTTTTTATTGACAAGGTATCAGTAGGTACGATTGTTGTGGAATCTGGGGATATGGTTGTTGTGCCAGTGGAATCAGAAGTATTAATAGTGAGATTAGAAATAAAAGGCGTACTATTAAGGCTATATATTATTATTGTTGGAGTGGTGTTAGAAATATCTGGTATTAGATTAGATGTTGTATTAGTAGATATAGATGTTGTAGATTTGTTAAGCACGGTTGCTTTGATACCAGTAGTTAGAATAGTTGCTTTATCTGTAGTGAGCATTATATTTGTATTCTCAGTTGTTGTTATTATATCAGTAATGGGCGTAGATTTTATAGATTCAATATTAGGCGTAGTTGTTATGCTGTCAGTATTAGCTTTCGTAGCTGTTGTAGTAGTAAGTGTGGTTACGGTTGTTTCAGTACTAGGTATGATTGTTAAGGCACTAGTAGTAGATGCATTTTTCGTGGTATCCGTAACAAATATATTCGTAGTAATAATATCACTAGTAGTTGTTATTGTGGCATCAGTGGTTAGTGTATTATCTAGGGTCGTTGTATTAGGGGTGTTTGTTATAATTCCAATATTACCTGTGGTAAATGTGGTATCACTCACAGACGTGGCTGTTGTTATATCAATTGTAGTTTTAATTGACGGGGTATCATTAGATGGGATTGTTGTGGAATCAGAGAATATGGTTGTCCTGGCAGAGGAATTAGAAGTATTAATAATGAGATTAGGCCTAATAAAAGGTGTACTATTAATGCTAGATATTATTATTGTTGGAGTGGTTGTAAAAATATCTAATATGAGATTAGGGGTTGTATTATTAGATATAGATCTTGTAGATTTGTTAAGAATGGTTGCTGTGATACCAGTAGTTAGAATAGTTGCTTTATCTGTAGTGGGCATGATATTTGTAATTTCAGTTGTTTTTATGATATCAGTAATAAGCGTGGATGTTTTATTAGTAGTATTTTCATTAGTAGTTGTTATTGTTTCATCAGGGGTAAGTTTATTTTCTAGGGTAGGAGTATAAGGGGTTCTTGTTGTTAATCCAATATTACCTGTGCTAATTGTAGTATCAATCTCAGTTGTGTCTGTTGTTGTTTCAATGGTATCAGTAAGTGCGATTGTTGTTGAATCAGAAGATATTGTTGTCGTGGCAAAGGAATCAGAAATATTAATAATGTTAGGCCTAATAAAAGGTGTACTATTGATATTAATACTAGATATTGGAAGCATGTTTGTTGTGTTGTAAGAATTAAATGGGTTAGTATTGATCGTAACACTAAATGCCCTCTCAGTTATAAAGCTTGCTATTACCGGACTAGATGTAAATTCTATCGATCCAACAAATATTTGTCCTCGGTGGTTTGATTCCTTTAATAATTTTTAATTATTATGCTTTTATCATTCGAATTTTCCTGATCACATTATAAAATTTAATTCAATTAATATTAATTAATACATTATAAAATGTATCAGAGTTGAATCATAACCCTAACTCTCGTAATTGGTACCAAATTTTAACATCAAAACCTTCTTTAATAAACTTATAGGAACTGTAACCCTAACCTGAACCATTTTTTAAAATTTTATTCACTGGAGTCACTAAAATTTAATAATTTTATTTTATTATCTTTCAAAGTGGTTATATTTATTTTAGAGGGTTTATTTAATTCCTAAATTCTTATTTATAAAAAAAATTTGAAAAATTGATTAGAATAATTTAAATACTTCAGTGTTATAATAAGAATCGCTTTTTAAATTTTTAAGAATCATAAACAGACATAACCTTCCTTTGATATATGTTGAGGATACTTACAGGTGATCTATATGAAAAAAAATGTTAAGAGTTATGATAGCATCCAATTTGTAAAGCATCAAATAAAGTTTCAATTTATTTAGATTATTAAAAGGAAATGTTAGAAATCTAGCTAGGAAAAGTCTAACCACCCGATTTAGAAAGAGAATTGATATGAAAATTATATCGTGTGATTACATTCCGAAAAATAAAATCGAGTTAGCGATAGAATCTGAATTCAGATGAAAAATAGTAAATATAATAATCTATTATTGAGAAAAAAAATAAAGTCTATCATTTTAATTACATATGAAAAAAAAGGCTGTATAAAATTTAAAGAATCAATATAATTTGAATTTTCAAAATAAATAAATATTCTCTTGCAGCTTACCCAGTCAAGCTACAATATCTTTATTTTATTATTATTGCGAAAATAAAATAAATTTTTTTTATAAACAATCATTTTACGTAGAATAAGATTGGAGTTGGAGGTGATATAAAACATACTAAATAATAGGTGCCCATCATAATAGCCACTTTGAAGAGCCAATATTGATAACTTACTTGCTGAATTAGAGTTTAGAAGGATACTTTAGGCATTATTATAATTACTTTAATAAACATTTAAAAATTTTAGCATATAATTTCCAATAAGAAGCCATGAAAAATAATGCAAGGGGAATATTTTTTTCTAATCTTTGAGACCGAGCTCCACCCTTATTACCAAAAAATATGAAAATTTTAAAAGGTGAAATAAAATAAAAAGTAGCTGATTCATTTATTTTTAGCCTACTCTTTAAAGTAGTGTTGTTAATTGGCCTGATTTGGTCGATTTTTAAAAACTGCCCGATTAAGATTTTGGCTTAAATAATATTATGTATGCTTGGAGATCATAATTGGGAGAAAGATTTTGACCTCTATTTACCAAATCTCCAGGCTTACATGATGTTTATCTTATTCGAGCAGTTTTTAAAAATCTACTCTAATCGGGGTTTTTATTAACACTATCTAAGAGAATTTTTTAATTTATCGTTTTAGTTTTTATATACAAGAATAAAAAATAGAAATAATAATATTTTTGATGATACGGAGTGTCTGGATTGTTTTATTTTTTAATTAGAGGGCTTTGCGCTTGCTGACGATGTTTTCCCAGTAAAACATAAATATAATATTTAAAAAAATATTAAATAGTAATAATCATGAAAATACGAAGAACGTTTTATATATGGTAGATGAGAGACAAGGGTGCAACGGCAACCGGAGTAAACCCCCAAATGCTAATAATATTTAACTGTTTCAGCGAAATAACTCAAATTTTGTCAGAAAATAAATTTTTTTTGTTAGAAATATTTATATGTTTTACTAAATTGGTATTCTATAATTAAAAGATATTTGGGCAAAAAACAGTTTTGTTTGGTTAATTTTGTCAAATTTAATGTAAATTTTCTTTTAGAAATCACTAAAAATAACATAAATAATTATTTAAAAATTTTATGAGAGTTTATCTATTGACTATCATATGACATATTAAAAGTAGTCCCAAATTTCTATCTCCCCTAATAATATTTCCCCCCGGATTTATTGCCACCTCATTTTGAGTATGGGGTCAGTTGGCGAAATTATCACCACTCACATATTAAGGACTAGACCCTCAACCTATGAAAGATCGAGCTTGGAGGTTTTTATTACAGCCGGATTATGAGTCTATCATAGAGTATATGAAGATTTTTTTTATTTATATCCTATATTTTTTATATATTATTTCAAATTGTAAAAATATTTGATCATATGACCCCAGTTTCTCCTAGCATATGATATGAATAATCGTTACCTGAAGTTTTATGGGCGTGGTCGGTCCTCCTGGACCATTTCTAATAGCAAACTTGTAGAAAATATATCGCCTAAAGGTAGATATTCTCGTTATACTGATTGTTAAACCATCTGAGCTAAAGTATGAATCTGCCCCAAGGGCCAAATTGTTTGCTCGATAACCTCGGTCTGTTACAATTTCTAAAAAATATTAAATATTATTAATTACCATATTAATTAACATGAGACTAAGCATACAGATTACTATTTAATTTCCATATATTCAATATAAAATGCTATTAGAATTAAATGGCTTATTTTTAGAGTTAATTTTTTTATTTAAAGTCTATATTGCATTTGGAATCCAACATATATTTAACCAAAATTTGATTCTATTAAATGATAATAAACATAAAATATCCTATGTGTTTTAAATCAATTTAGTAAAAAATATTTTGGGGTTAGTCCAAAGTTTTGTTAAAAACATCAGAAAGTTTTAAAAGCAAGAGTTTTATAATTTTATTAAAATCATATGTTTTTTTTTAAATTTTTATTTAAAAAATGCTTATTTCTAATTTATCGACAAAGTTTCAAAGGTTTACGAATCAATTTTTATGATATTTTGGACACAGCCTCAAATAAAGTAAAATATAATCTATATTTTTAATTTCGTCATCAAAAAAGAGGTTTATAAAGAGGGAATAGAGCCAGGGAAATCTTTAGCTGAAAAGAAAAATCATAAATTAAAATGACATTTTTTTTTCATACCTATTATCGTGCTTCCATAAATACCTATATTTATATCCAAGTTGCAAGTCGCTTCAGTTATATATTTTGCAATTAAGAAAAGAGTAGATCCATCTAGATCACCTTTTTTTGCCCCGTAAAATAATATATAATTATGCAATTTACTGTAAAGAAGTAAAATATAATGTTTAAATTCCTCATGATCTTAACAAGCTACATCAAAAACTGATTTACACTCTAATAATTTTTTTTAGATATAAATTTTTAAGGAGAGTTACACTTTAATACATAGTTGCTTTTAAACTAAATTAACTCCCCAAGAGATGTAGAGAATTTAAAAAAAAAATAAAAAAAGGATATCCCAATTTTTGAATATTAATTTAATATATCCTGGTTATACTATGGAATGAAATTATAACATTAATTAATTATATTATGCAATGATTCTATAAAGGTTTATTACGCATAATAAATCCGAATTTTTTCGGGTGTGTAGATTCTGATCGTTCTAATTGTGTGCCTTGCTTTATTAAGCAATTTTGTAGTGGTTTTCTACCGAAAGAAGGAACTAGAAGTGGATAAATTTATAAAATCATAATAATATAAGCATAACAAAGCATAACATAATAGTAAGACTTTTATAATTTGGGCTGAGATCGAGAAAAAGAATTCTGACCAAAATTAGCGTTTCTTTAATTATAATATTAATATCTTTAGAAGTAAAATTTTTCTCACATTTGAAAGTAGGCGGATGCCCAATTTTTTAAGGTATACATTCTGGTAATAATATATTATTATGGTTTCATAAATTAGTCACCTACATTTTTAGAGTAGATAAATGCTCAATGTCATTTGATAATAATTCAGAAGATATTTTTGGGTCAAAATAAGCTTCAAATTATGGGGGTGTCTCAGTTATCGATACTTAGAAAATTGGACTAGTTTTAAAGTTTAATAATCATTATTTTCCTAAAAACAAATTTTTATATAATTGGTAAAAAATAATAATTTGATAATGCTAAATAAATTATAGGAGAATTTTCCATTTGAGAGGCTTTTATTTAGGAAATCGTTTATATTAATGAAATAATTATGATAATAGACAATAACTAACAATTAGAATTTATATAATGTGAAATGTAAAGCTAATTATTTAATTTCCATTTTCAGTACTTAATGAAATAATTATGATAATAGACAATAACTAACAATTAGAATTTATATAATGTGAAATGTAAAGCTAATTATTTAATTTCCATTTTCAGTACTTATTTACTTATATCGTGAATATAAATAATAAAAAAAAATGTACTTTAGAGTATCAGTAGAAGAGAAATTTATGCACTGATATCTTAACCTAAATGGTTTACTTATATATTATAAATTTATATCCATATCTCATCACTTTGAAATTTAGGGTCTGAGGTCCTTTTTTCTCCTAGAGATGGGAAAGAAATTAATTTTATTGCCAGAGTAGCTTCTTTTTTTTTTTTTATCTCGTGCTAAAAAATGGGCTGAAAAATTTATAAAATCAATGACTTTCATTTGGCTGAATAATATAAAATATCCAGAATAATTGATTTTAGAGAAGCAAAATAAGGAGATTTCGGTAGAATTTATTTTTGTTTGATTAAATTAACTTATCTTTAAATCCCCCCCCCTTCCCTTGCCCCAGCTTTACCTTTCTCTCCTTAAAAACTTAAAATATCTTCTTTAGCATATTATATTTGAGAGAATTTCATTGATTTTAGTTGAATTAATTTTTTGCAGTATTATTAAAGTTTTGATATTTTTAAGCTTGCTCTCAATGATATCTTCCTTCTATCAAAATTAAATTTTAGCATAATATAATTCTTAATTTGGCAAGATTTTTTTTTATAGGGTCAGGAATTTGATATTAGAAGTTGAATCCCCCACTCAGATCTAACAGATAATTTCCTTCGAGTAAAATATAAACACCGATATGGGGTCTTTATTTAATTTTTTTTCCCATTAACCATTTGTTTGAATGGAGCTATCGTTTAACATTAGAAAAAAAATATTTAAAGATCGTATTATCATTTTTTTAAAAATAATGTGCCATTCATTATTTAACTCTCCATTTATTTTATCTAACTAAAAAAAAATTCAAGTAAAGGTTCTAAGAAAAAACATAAATAGAAGTCGAGATATTAGTTTTAGAATGGGCAATTTTACCAAATTTTTAAATATTATTATAAATTTTTTTAATTATATTTTCGTCATCAAAATGTCTGGGGAAATTAACCGCGAATCGCTTTATTCGATTGGCCACCAATAGACCATGAAGGGATAAAAAATTTTATGGTGAGACCTTCCATTTTGTTTAAAATTTAAGTAATTTATAGGATTTAAAATCTTCTATACCTTGCTGTGCTGAAACGTTTTCGGTGTTCGTTAACCATATCACTGATATAACGAGCGTTAAAATCTAAAATTGAAAATTGAAAATTATGGCTTATATTATTTTTGAAAAAAAAATATAGAAAACAATTTAAAGGTTTTCTAAAAATACTAAAAATGTCAAATGACTTAAAATCATACTTTATATTCAACTACATATCTACTTTGGAAATAGATTTCTTCTACCTAGTTAGATATATCAAAATTATCCTATTAACATTGCTCAAAAATCACAATAAATGAATTTATTAACATTTTAAAAGCGTTTTATATACAACCTTAAAGAAGTAAACTAAGAAGACTTACCCCAAAAACTAACAAAATAGTGATACTAAAATAATAAAATTAGAATATATAATGACTAACCCTTTCATCCATGATCATCTTAAGATGATTGAATAATATTAGTTATGTATGCTAAAATAATATAGGGAGAATTATTTAAACTGATATATCTAGCGAAATATTTTTTTATAATAGCAAAAAAATTAAAAAAAAATGTCAGCACTAAATAAAATAACGATTTAACCCATAATTTTTTGTGGGTTAATTTCTTTCCAAGGCGTTAATTTTTTTTTTAAAAAAAGTCAAAATTTATAAAAAATATTTTATTTTTATTACTGTGAATAAACAGCATAGATAATTATTAGGTTATTTCCTATAAACAATTTTGTCATATTATTTAATCACTGTAAACCGATATTTCTAACCTATAAAATAAATTTAAAATATTCACTTTTTATTAATACCTAAATTATAATTTAAAAATATTTATTATAAAGATACATCGAAAATGATTTATTTCCCTATGATATAAATATTAGTAGAGTGTAATGTGATTCTAAGAATTTCACCCTCCACTCTCAACATCTCTCAAAATGCTCGGAAATATTCATAAAATTAATGTGGTTTTTTATTTATGGTTCTCATTTCTAAATCGAGATGTATAATTTCTCTTGTTTTTTTCTTCTAAATAAACATATTTGTGATATCTTACTATATTTCTCTAGCCTTTAATATTTCTATATTTTCATAATATTATCATTATTAATTATCATTAAATAAAACGCCAGTGAAGGCGCCTTATTTTTTATATTGAATTACGAGAGATACAAGAATTCAAATGCCAAATAAAAAATTCTCACTAGGGGACGTTATTTTTGAAAAGTATATTCATGTTATATTATAAAATATATGTTATTTATATTATTTTAACGTATTTAAGTTTTATGATGTAACGAATAAATTCAATTTCACTATGAATTACAATAAAACATTTCACCAAAGAATCGAAAGTTTTTATATATTAGACAGAAAAATACAAATCGAAATTTTTAAATATAGTTATGGTTCCTTTTTGGGAACACCTTTGTTAAATTTAGGATTTTTAATTTTATTTAACATAGTTGTTATATTTTTGTTTTGAATTTTCATAAAAATATAATGGTGCAATGGTTGGTTAATTACTTTAGAAAGATTAAATAATTTCTCGATTTCTTACCTACATACATATATAATTATTATATAAATTTAGTATATCTGTCACCATAACAATATTTTTATATATTAGGGAAATTGCTATAATTCTTGAACAACTATATAAAATCTTAAACACCTATATTATTTTATTCTTCAACATTTATATATAAAAATATATATCTTAAAATGGGAAATAATAATCATATAGTAAAAAAACAATTAACTTTTTTTTTTTATTATGAAATGGCGAAACTAAATTTATTTAAAAACATAAATAGACCTCTATATTTTTTGTCTAATAAATAAAACGAAAATGTGAATATACCACCCTTCTCCACTTTAACTTGGATACCTCTCATCATATTCGGGTAGTATATCGTATTTCCAGGTTCTGTCCTCACCCTCAAGAATATTCCACAGATGGTCTCGATGTTGAAGAATTTATTTATAGCATATGGAGGAATAAACATAATAACCGATATAAAAAGTAATTATTAATTTCTTAGAAAATAGAAGATGGCAGAAATATATAAAAGAGCGCAACAATTTGCGTCAAAAAAATATTTTATTAGATTGAATAGCGAATCACCAGAAACCTTCTGATGGACTATTTAAAGAAAATAAAGGCATTAGCTTAGAGATGCAAATTTGAAAAAAAATAAATATAAAAATATGTTTTAGGGATCAATTTATTTCTGTATTTCCATGGAAGTTTTAGAAAGACTAAAATATTAGATAACGCTTCTCCAATCGTGCCTGTAATTCAAAAGGATGGATTCCTTACGAATTTCTGGTAACTTTCAATAGATGGTTAGCAAATATTTTTATTGATCAATATTCTACACTCAGAATAAATGAATAAGTTGTCATACTACTAATGAATCAAAATATACAATAATTCGATTTATCAGATTGGCACTTTCAAATTAGATGAGGAGGCAAAAATATTGTTAGTGATCAACATGCCAATTGAACTTTATGGTTTCGCGTGACTTCTATTCGGATAGCTTTAACGCCAGCCATTTTTAAATAAGCAATGGATTCTTATACTTCACGGCGTAGTGGTATATTTATACGCTATATTAATTTATAGGGAATGTTGACAAACGATTTCTGATAAATATTAAAAACTTTAGAAATAAACGGTATCAAGTTAATGCAATTTTATTTAAAGAAAACCCTAGGTTATACAATTAATTAAGAGGGAATCACAACAACAAATA